GTTATTCCCGGGTCCCCCGGCACAGCACAGCCGGGGAAACCTGCCTGCTGCTGCCACAGCAGGAGTGTGAGAGTCGCTACAGCAAAGCACTGTTGTCGGGTCTCCAAGTTGCTCCATTCCCTCATGAACAGTGAAAGTAACACACAAACCTCTTTTAAGTCAGTAAGCTTTATTTAAGGAATAAATAAAATGGTAAGAAAATACGGACAATTGTAATAAATACAGCACTTGTCAAAATCACACAGCCACGAACAGCGCAATATTCTTAGGCGTATTGCTCCAGTGCGGTTACAAGGTTTGGCACGTTCCTAGAAAAACAACTTTCTGTCCCTGAAAGAACATTTTAAACGTGGAAGAGAGAAAAAGACAGACAGAGAGAGACTGTGTGTGTGATGGCAAAGAGTATCCAGTTCTTTCCCAAACAAGCTTAGATAGTTATTTGTTTACAGGGCAGGGTTTTTTTGAAATCTGATACTTATCACAACTAATTATTTTAAAGGATGCTGTCAAGACCGACAGGAGAGATTTGAGAAGTCATCTGCCAGCAGCGAGGCTGGAGGTTAGTCGCAGCACATGACATTTCACCAGCTCTGCTCGACGGCTGCGGTTTCCATGGTTTGCAGAATGCAAGTGGACAAATCGTTTCTCCTCTCCCTTCTCCGGCAGTGGGCACGGAATTGTCTGTCGGCTTCGTGTTTGCAGCTGAGACACGGGAAATATTGCAGAGGGAAAATGAAGAAAGTAATTGCATAAAGGCCCCTCACACCCCCTCCCCAGCCTCTGCCTGCAAGGTCAGGCCTTGGGTTTGTACAAAGCCGTCCCACCTCTCCCGCGGAACCCAACCCAACTCCACGGATTCTGTCAACCAGCTGCTAAGCAGGGAAGGGCAGGAGGAGGGAGATTTGGCTGCTTTTTGGGGATATGGTGTGGTGTTTGAACTTTGCACACATCCAGGCATCTCCAAGCTTGATTTACTTATGTAAAAAAAGTCATTCCTTACCCCTATTTAAAAAGACAAAACCATTTCTAGTAGTTACTTCTATTTTAGCATGTGAAAAGACTTAGATATGGGAACAGATTAAAAGACTTAAGCCACAAAGAAGAAAAACAATCATTTCTAATAAGTCACTTGTCTGGAAGGTTCAGGAAGTGATTAACACATGAAAACGAAGCTGCAGAGGGGTCCGTCTCGGACTGGCACCTCTGGACTTCTCGGGGTTGTTAACAACCCTCAGAGCTCCACGTCTGAAATGGGAAAGTGGAACGACTCTCCGGGAAATACAAGAGGCAACTCCCCCGAGGCACAGCGTAGTCTGGTCACCGACTGCGGGTGCCACACAACATCTCTTTACGGGGCACATAAATACAGGTCTGAAATAAATAGCACAAAATAAATCATGCAGTATAAGGAATTCAAGCCACAGATGCCATGCACAGCTCACTGCTTTCAAGGTCAATAAGCACAACCAGGGACACCCGATCCGTGCCTCGGGAAGGAACCTGCCCTTGTCCCTGGAGGGAAACGCTCCGGCTCCCTGGATTTTGTGTGCGCATGAAAACTAATACAAGGTCTCAAGCTGATAGGCTGGGTTTTTTCCCTGTAAACTAATGAAATCCAGTGGGTGATTTACCAGACACCCATATCTCAGGATTTACTAATTGGTTTCTATAATGCACTTAAGGAAAAGCGTATCTTCTTTCACATAGGCATATTTAGGCGACTGCAGTTTGGACAAAGGAAGGAACATGGGACAGCCACTTGCAACATTCATATCATTCACTGGTCTCTGAAATGAAGCCGAAGCCAAGTCCGGGCGAAACGCATCAATAATGTGTTCCCTGTTATTTTGGTCGAGCAACATAAATGTAACCTGGAAAACAGAACGCGTCAACGATGAGTTACTGAACTGAAAAATAAGGCAGAAAATATCGGAGACAGAAGCGCAAGCAAGCTGCAAAAGCAGCAGCTGGATGCTGTATCGATAATTAAATACCAGATGTGATTAGTTTCGCAACCTGCAAGGTCAGTTCCTGTGAACAAGCAGACTGTAACGGTTCCCAGGTGAAGCATTTAAAACCCTGCCACCCGTCAACTACACTTAAATAAAATGAAGTAGGAACTGTGTCATGGTAGAGAAGCGCACGGTCCAAGGACTTTTTTTCCTCTCTCTCCTGACTCAAAATCCAACCCCGAGGCTGGTTACTGTCATTACAGCCATTCTGTTGTGGTTTGGAAACAAAATAAACAGCTCCCTTGCCAGCACGCAAATACGTCAAAGACACAACCTGAATACCAGTATAGAACCTCCCCAACACTTCCATTACCTCGCTGTTCTTTAGGCTGAAACATGTAACAATTGTTTAATACAGTGAGGATGGGGGACTTGGATTTCTATTTTTCTCGGCCCCTAAATGGTAGCAAAGCTACTTATATGAGAGGCTTTCACAACTATGACCATGCAAAGGCAAGTGCTAGAGCAGAGACCAGAACCTCATGCACACTGTCACGGCTCATCTCATCACTGTTGCCATCATCAGGTTGTGCTTATAAAAAGAGAAAAAGTAAGAAAGATCAGGGTCACATAAAACACTTGTAGCACGTTTGGAAGTAGAACTCCGACCTCACATTCCTAATACCGGTGCTGCAGGCAGCAAATCATAGTTCCCTCATGAACTGATATTATCTATGTATAGCAAGAGCCAGGAAAACGTGTCTCTGGCTTTAGCCCAGGAGGACACATCAATCTTGTTTGCAATCTATCAAACAGCAGGATCCTGGCGTTTGAAAATCCTGCAAGGCAAAGTATGGACTCTCGGTAGGAGCAGCTCTCCCTGTGCATATATCACTCCATTAGGGACAAATTAGCACCCAATTAACTGAGATTAGAGTACGGCTAATAGCCACCAGAGAGGAAAACGGGAAAACACTCCAACTTCCACTAAACTCGAGGAAAAATCCCCTTGTGTCCACTAAAACCAGCACAGAGAAGTGGTGGCTTTACGCTCAGATCAGAGATCAAAAGGTTTCCCCTCTTACCTTGTGTCGGAAAGGCCACGGGAGCAGAGCATCGTAGTCTCCCTTCATGACAACAATGAACAGGGACAAGTGGGTTCCTTTTCCCGTCCCATCCCCGTTCAGATAAACCCTCAGGCACACCTTGTAGCCATACTTTGCAGTGTAGAAAGCTGAAAGGCAGAACTCTTCGTTAGTAAAGCCTCCTTCGAACAAAAGACATAACGAGTGTTCTGACACATGGGAGAAGACAGCACATGACGTGCTCTGCTGTCACAGAGATGAGTGCAAATCCATCCACCCCGGAGACTACAAGCAATGAAAATCCACCGGTTGGAATCCTTTAGTGCCTCACGCCTTGGTGAAAATTACCTGTTATTAACCACACAAGCATCTTTTACCTAACCAAACTCCTTCTCACAGGGAAGAACTACCACAGAACAGCACAGGGTACCACGGGGCGCAAGCTGTGGGTCAGACGGGATGGAGCCAGCAGATACCTGCGGCAGAGAGCAAGCCGTGAAATGAAAGCCCAGCGCAGCTCTGCGAAGGGCAGGTCGCTGCCCTGAGTTACAGGCAGGAGAGCATGGCGTCTTCCAGGAAGGGCATCTTCATTCGAGGAGCTATTTTGAGGGATCTTCTGTCCACGTGAGCAGAAAGCAGCACTGTTCTAGAAACCAGTGGGTTTCCTAGAGGATCGAGTTCTGCTACCACACGTATCCGTCCCGTGTTTTACCTGGTGAATACAAGCTGACGGTTCTTCCGGTCACAGAGTCTTGTAACTTCCTGCCAACGTCTGTTATTTTCCACAGAAAGACCCCATCATAGGAAGCTTGCTCCGAGAACAGAAGACTCTTATGAAGACTGCTCAGGCCCGCATCCTTCTGCGTCAGGCACCGGTGCAGCTCCGCGATCTAGGAAACACAGATCAGTTCCCGATCAACGCCCCCTCTCCAGGCTGCTGTGCCGCAGAAGCAGCAGAACCGTTCTGGAGACCTCATGTTCTGACAGGTCTCCTCTGATTTCTCTGTAAGTGACAGTTACATATCGGCATGTGAGGCGAACAACTTGCCTGGTCTTCCAGGCATAATGCTGCTTTAAGAGGATCCGTCAGCTGAACAACCGTCTCGCTCGCTCACAGTCTGATCAGGGCAAATTCTGAACGTTCAAAACTCTCAGGAATATCTAGGTAGCTAAACACTGGTTTAGGTAACAAATACTAGAGATCCCCATTTGAAAATTAATCCAAAACAACAAAAGGATCCTGTAGATGTGTCCAGAACTCAACACTTGACAGCTCAAAGCCCTCTCCTGATCTCTTCACCACCTCTCTCTGCTATGTGTAAAAATCTGTTCTCTGTACAACAAGCAGACAGCGCTCATCATAACTACTTACCTTCAGTTCAAGGCCTCGTATTATATTTTGATCCAGTTCACTCTGTCTCCGAAAGGCTGTGATTTCCAAGTTAGAGGTCTCCACCTCTTTATTGAGCACTGCCACAATATTCTCAAAGACGTGTAGCTTATTTTCTAGCTCAGAAATCACCTTCTCTCTCACAAGTTGTTGTAGAACAGATTCATCTTCAGAAACAGAAGACCTAGAAAAACAGTCTACTTCCAGATCCCCGTTGATTTCCAGACCTGGTGGGACCTGCAGATTGGAGATGCTTTTTCCTGCACCCTCCACATTCAGGATGAAGCCATTCGCAGCTTTGGCAGCAGTGCACAAGCTTGCCTTCAGTTGCTTCATGTGCTGCAGCAGAAGCAGCATGTGGGCCCCAACTGCAGTTTTTTCATGCTCCTTTATCTTTTCTTTGCTTCCCTGGAAGAAGAAGACACTGTCACTACCATCTCTAAGCAACTATGATAACTGGCCCGGGGCCAAATCAATGCTCCCTTCAACTTGAGAGAGAGGTGGAAGAACTGCAAGATACAGGTCCAATTACTGAGCAGCTGACTCTCAGGAGGCACAGAGAGAGGAAAACCAACAGGCACTCTAATGATCAGTTTAGGCTGTGTTCACGTGCGGACACATGCTACGTGAAAAGAAAACACTTGGCTACAATTTCTGTATCAAACAGGATGCCAGGCAGAGTCCCAGCAAGATTCTCAAATAAGCCAGCATTTAATTCATATACTGTGCACAAAAGATGAGACAAGGCAACAGATACAAACTGAAATGCAAAGAAGATGCGTTACTGTTTTAAGAAGCATTACCCTGAGGTGAATATCCCAAACAGCGGAACAGCTTATCTGACAAACCAGCAGATTTGTAATAAGCATCCGTTGTCATCTGAAGTGAATGCACCGTGCAGGATACAGAGTGTCACAGGCTGAACTGCACCTTACACGCAGCGTGACCATGGCAGTTCCAACGTCACCTCTGCTGTCTGCTGAAAGTGGGTGGACTTTCTTTTCTTAGAGATGTATATAATGCCCACTACCTTGACCACAGAGTCTGGCTAGACCCAAGGCACAGTGCTGAGCGGTAAACCACCTGAGACCTTCCTGAAGGCAGCTGTTTCACTCACCGTAAATGAACAGCCGACTTCGGAAAAACGACATCCATCCTTGTTCATTAAGGGTGTGGACCCGTTCTGTTAAAAATAAAGAAAATGATCAAAAACCAATGAAAAGGGATTCTTTTCTTTACCTACAAACAACTAGGCCACAACCCCAGCAGCTATAAATCAGGTTAATTCAGTCGAGGCATCACTGCAGCTTAGAGTGTCCAACCAGCTTTGATTGGGTGCCCAGAGATGTTGTGGATGCCCCATCCCTGGATGTCTTCAAGGCCAGGCTGGATGAGGCTTTGAGCAACCTGGTCTAGTGGAAGGTGTCCCTGCCCATGGCAGGGGGGTTGGAACTAGATGGTCTTTAAGGTCCCTTCCAACCCAAACCAGTCTGTGATTCTATGATTCTATGATTTATCTGTTGATGATGAGTGTGGGTGACTGCAAGTCTCTTACACACAATCTGGCAGTTAAGTGTTCATCTAACAGACCCCACAACGACCTAACGCCATTTAACAAACCACAGGCATCCCCTAGTAACAAATTCTCATAAATAAGATGCCAATAAGCCAAGTGGCCCACCAAAGCGGGTAACGTCGTGCACACCGCTGCTCCAACCCTCCTCCTGCTCTCAGAGAACGCTCAGAAGAGCTGTGTCATGCAGCGTGTCCTGGGAATAAATGGATCTATCAGACCAAAAGCTCTGACTAATGTCCGAGTTCAGTCCCTATCACAACCAAGAGCACATCTCATTATACTCTTATACAGCATATTCTTCACTTGCTCATGTGGGTCTCCCTGAATAATTGAAAGGAAACAAACAATTCCCCAGTTTTTGTAAGATTAATTGGGAAGATAATTTAATAGTTAACTGTGGGAGCAGGGAAGAGAAGGCAGTCAGCAGAGCTGTGCTGGGATGTAAAAAGCACCCAGATATACAACTGCCATGTCTGAAGATGTTCCGATACTCTTGTAATCTAAACGAACAAGTGATACTTTTATGAACTGAAATAAAGCTGTACTGCATTCACTCATACCTACCTTCTCCTCTGACGGTGTTTCAGTTTGTGCACATTTCTGATCCTTACATAAACTGCCTTCACATGAATGTTCCTGCCATTAAAACAAGAAAAGAATGCAGCACATTATTAAAACCACCGAGCATCTTTAAATAAATAGTCTAAAGTCTTTGAAACAAAGCTTGTGCTTGGGAATGCGATTCCCATTTTACTGGACCTTGGGGATTTGGGAGGCTTTTCTACAAGAAATTCCGTGTTACGGAAGAAAAAGTTTACAGTGGGTTTCTTGCTTTCTTCCTGGGAGGTGTGGGTTTAAGGAATAGTAGAGGAAGGAAGGGTAATTTCCCCAGGAGCACTACAAGCTCCACAACACATGGTGCAAAATCCTGTACCCCCACCCAGAGAGCACTTGCTCTGGGCCTCACTAAGCAATAGTGCAGCGTTCTCTGGCTTCTTCTTAGAGGAAATGATGATCAAAAACGTGGGCCTAAAGCACATCTGCTAAAAGTGGGCGCTGCTGTCCCCCTACAACGAACTGCAGACTCGGAGGTTTCCCAAGCTAATCCTTCAAGCTGATTACTCCTCAGCTTAGAGGCGTGTTCAGTGACGGATCTGCGGATGCCGTACCTGTTAAGCGAAAGTACAAAGTGTGTTCTCTCACCAATGGGGCCCAGAGCTTTTGGAAACTACTTAGAGATGGTTTGCAAGATCACCCTGGGAAATCGCATACAAGATTGGCAATGTACAAGCTTTGCCGAGCTCAATCCATAGGTACATGCACTCACACATGTACGTACACATGTATACGTGCAATGACATGAAGGTGGATTACAGAACAGAAAGCAAATATACAGGAAACCCAAATATAAACTCTTCTTGCACTGACTTCCTTAACATGCTGCCCATTCTTGCATCCTGCTTATTAGCATTTTGAAGGCTGGAATCCAAATTTTCCATCATGACGTGCTAATGCAAAGTGCATTACCACTAACACGAGACTTCCTGCCATTTCTGGCTCCAAGAAGGGTAAAGTAATCCTCCTGCCATTGGTTCATGCAACTGTAATATGTGTATTTAACACAGCAACGGGCGGCTTTCAATTCATGCTGTTGGGGGGGCTGTCTTTAACCTTTATAAACGCCTTTGCATGCCAGTACATTTCCTGTAGCAGTCTAGAAATTCTTTGATTAAGCCATTCCAGCAACCTTCAAGTTTCCCCTCCAAAGAGTCCTGAGGTTTCTCTTTCAAACCTCAGAAATACAGCCATAGTTTTTTCTCACTCTCAACTCATTTTTTAATACTCTGTATCTCAGCTATTGCACAAAGTATGCCTTTATGTTCTTCCCTTCTGCTACATGACTCCTTCCGATTGTTGATTTCTTGAGGGGGAGAGGGGCTGGTGAGAAGTTTCTTTAAAACACGGAAATTCAAAAATCACAAGACCAGTAACTGATTGGCTAAGATGGAGAGAGTGAGAGCAGTGCCCAAAACTTCCTATTTGCTGCCAGAGGATTGTGGATACATGGAATACACACAAATAATCAAAATTCCCATGCCACATAACTGCAGATTTAATAAAGCAGATCATGTAATTAGCAAACTTCCAATTTTACAAATACTAACTGAGGCAGGCAGAGAAAAATCAACATCTCAGGGCCAATCACCTGCTTGGTTGCCAAGGTTTCCTAACCAAAAAATTAATTAGATGATAGCTAACTGGAATGAGTGGGAGGTAAACAGTCCTTCATTGCAGGAAAATGAAGCTGGCTGACGTGGATGTGCAGTATCACAGATCTCTGAAAAGAGAAAGGTGCTCAGGGAACGCTCACACAGCTCAGGTTTCCTCCTCCAGCCTGCCCACTGCACTTACAGAAGGTTGAAAGGGATTAAGTGCTGCGACCTTCTGGTATTTACGGTCTCTATGAAACACACGCTGGATTTAGCACTGGTAAAATGTGCCTGGGTTCTTCTCTCTCTGCCATAGTAAGATATGAAGAGCAAAAGCTTCCCAAGAAGCATGTTTTAGCAAGAGCACCTTATTCTTACCCCAGAAGGACTGTTACCCCCATGCTGAGCAAATCGTACAGCTCCGTATTTGGAAAGACACAGATTTGTGACCATTACGATACGCAAAGCGATCCACTCCCTACTTACTTGGGGCTACGTTTTTGAGATATTCACAACCCTCCTGCCACATAGGTCTTACATCACTGTGCCCCCATTCCGGGATAGAACTCCAAGGCTGGCAATCATTCTCTTTAAATCATCTGGAGGGATCAATATTAGTTATGCTACACCCAAGAGTGTTGCCCAACATCTTCTTTGATAACAGAGCGTGCAGGGTCAGAGCTGGGCTGAGAACATTTTCGAAGCTTCCCCATCAACCCAGGCATAGCAGCACTAGCAGGCGTGCGGCAGCTCTCACCCATGCTGCTGTTGCTTTGCTTCCAGAGTTTTTCAGCACAAAATGTCCTAAACAACAGATGATGGGCTTCTGTCAAGAGGCTGAGAAGCGTGGCCCTGAAGCTATACCTTTGGCAATCTCTTCATATAAGAACAGATAATTTTCTGTTCATATCATCTGTCCCACCACACCATTTCCCCCTTCACCAACACAGAAGAGTTTCTATTAGCTCACTTCATGCCCTCAGACCACTCTCAGGATTTGTACCATGCTGCATCTACAAAAATGGGTAATAACCAAGAGCATCTTTATTTAAAATGAACGGATGAAGGCACTTAAAACCTGCAAGTCAATAACGCATAACATTGCAGCTTTCCAGTATCTGAAGGGGCTACAAGAGTACTGGGAAAGGACTTTTTACAAGAGCCTGTAGTGATGGGACAAGGGGTAATGGGTATAAATTGAAATCAGGGAGGTTTAGATTAGACATCAGGAAGAAATTCTTCACAGAGGGGGTGGTGAGGCACTGGGACAGGTTGCCCAGAGAAGCTGGGGATGCCCCATACCTGGATGTCTTCAAGGCCAGGCTGGATGTGGCGTTGAGCAACTTGGTCTAGTGGAAGGGGTCCCTGCCCATGGCAGGGGGGTTGGAACTAGATGGTCTTTAAGGTCCCTTCCAACCCAAACCATTCTATGATTCTATGATTCTATGATTGCCCTGCTATCGTAACCGTGAGCATCGACTGAGAAAGGCATCACTTTTAGGAAAGAAAGCAATGGGTTAAGTAACACAAACATAAAAGTTTAATGATCAACTACGGTCTTGTGGAAAGAAAAAAGAAGTTGTTTTAAAGAGGATTTTGAGCAAATGCTGGGGACAGACTAG